TGGCTTGGTCTACTGGTGGCTTCCAGATCCTTTCTTCTTAGTCTTCCCACATGAAAATCTATTCTGGCTTGCTGAGCTGTAAATAAGAAAGTTTAACACATTTGCACTTAACAGAATGACCCCTCTCACATATACGCCAACATTCCACTCTCCCTGGGGGTGCTCAACCCCCGCTGTGCCCCAGGCCCTACCCCCACTCCACCCCTTCCCCCAAGGCCCCACCCCAATCCCACCTCTTCCTGCCCCCATTCCGCCTCCTCCCCCCGAGTGCGCCCCATCCTCACTTTTCCCCCTCTTCCCCCCAGCACCTCCTGCATGCTGCTGAACAACTGATCTTCAGCAGGTGGGAGGCTCTGATTGACAGGGCTGCCAGCAGTCAGCAGGACTGGGAGGGAGGGGGAGGAGCTGATCAATGGGGCTGCTGATGGGTGCTGAGCACCCAGGTGTAGTACTGGCTCCAATCTCAGGATCCCTGGGAGGCCAAGAAAAGAAAAGGAAAGAACACTGTAACTGCAGATAAGGTCCAAAGTGAGAAATGGCTCAAGAAGCTACAAGATTGATCAGGAGTCAGTTTTAACATGAAATAAAGTGGAAACCAGGTTTGGGATCTCATTTTACAACCCAGCTGTCACTTAGTAGCACATATTCATATGTCCGGTCTTGTTCAGACAGGTACATGCACACCTGGTATGTCATAACCAGAAAATAATTACATGTTTAAAAAAGGTTTCAAGCCTGTTATTACTTTCTCTTTACTGGGTCTGCATTGTCTGACATTAATTTTTTCTCCCTGTATCTGGCAAGCTCCTCTAAGATGTTCACTTAAAAGAAATGCGCTAACTCTGCTCAAGCTAGTGCACTAAAAATAGCAGTGTCGCACGACAGCACAGGCTAGCCAGAGTACAGTACTGCTTGACCCGCAGGGGTACGTAGGCGGACGGCTTGGCCTGTGCCGCCGTGGCCACGCTGCTATTTGTAGTGCACCAGCTCAAGCAGAACCAGCACATTTGTCTACCTGTGCTGGGACGCTCCCTGCCCAGCTGGTATGTAGACACACTCCAAGACAGAGGTTTGCAAACCTTTCTTATTGAGGACCCCCTTCCAGATCTACCAGCTGCCCATGCACCCCTCCCCTTCTCATCACTGATACTCTGTGTTCTTCTTAACGCTACCGGTCTTCAACCATCTGTCCATATTTCACTGTGACGTACAGATATAGTTATAGAGCAACATATACAACCAGAAAAACCAAAAACCTTGACTAAGTTCTGAGCTCAGTTAGACTGGACAGTTGTTGGAGGTGAGGCTCTGTATGTCAGCGTCTCTGTGTTCTCACCAAAATTTAAAAACGTCACGGCTTCTCTAGGTATCTTTCCCCATTTTCTTTTAAATCAGCTTCTCTCTCTACAGAAAATACTTTTTCCAAAGATTTTCCCCTCACCCACCCTCTTCCTCTACTTCTCAATGTATATAGCCTGAAAATCTCTGCTCCACTCCCACTCTGTGAAAGGCACTAGAACTAGGATACGGCTGCTTTGTGCTGCTCCAAGTTGCAGAGGGTACCTAATAATAAGTATATAGCACTTCATGAGTGTGCAAGTATTGACTAATTAATCATCCCAGCCCTGTATGAGGTAGGTAAGTATTGTTTTACTCATGTCCCAAATGGGTAAACTGAGGTACTGAGACACTAAGCAACTTGTTCAAGGTCCCTACGTGAGCAGGTATTGGTACCATGCAGCAAGCTGCAGGTTACTTCCAGCTGTGAAACTCCAGCCTGCATATTACAGACAGGGGGAATAACCCTTTAGAGAGGCAGCTCCAGTCTAGGGCCCCTAACATAAATGATACAGATGGAGAACAAACAGTGAGATGATACAGGATGGGAGCCATTGGCAGCTCTGTTACTGGAGAAGTCTGGCTGTGGTGTATGAGCCTCCTGGATGTCTATAGGCCACATGGGCTGACGGCCACCATTGGTGCCTTGTGATAGACTAATAATGGCTGGAATTTTTTCCTTGGGATACGGGCTAGTTAGATCATTTATTGACTACACACTAGGGGCAGATCACTTCCTCTCCTGAGAGCACAGTGAATTGCCTGGTTTGTGATGAGGCGGGGGTAAGGGTGAGGCTATCTCACTGTCACCACCAGGGCATTTCAGCCCCCATCACTGCTCTCCACATTGCACACAGAGGACAATTAAATTACACTGCTGTTTCTCCTTCATTCTGATTCAATTAAAAGAGGAATTAATGAGGGCAGCGGAAGAGGCTTTTTTCCAGGCCAGCATGAAAGCCGAAGCCAGAGCAACTGGCTCTTCGAGAATTCTTGAAAAAATTAGATCCTTGACAGAATGCTTCCGTGAGAGAGGAAAAGAAACAGAGGAGAGAATTACTGCTAGAAATGAAACACACGTGCACACACAGGCCTGCTACCAGGAGGGAGTTTGGCACTGATATGTCTGTACTGATATAGCTCTACTGGTTTAAAGCCCCAGTGTAGATGCCCTGCACCAGTGTAAAATGGTGCCACTTGCCTTTAATGGGACTACTCATGGCATAATATGTTACTCGATATAAGTAAAGGTATCAGAATCTGGCCCATAGTCCTTATGCAGCTTTACACAGTGCACATGTGAATTTCTGACTAGACAAATAGAATCCTGAAGGTAGTAGTCTGTCACTCGTTATTAAGGACTCATTCCTGCCAGGTGCTGCCTGCACTCACTGCCTCTCCAGAGTGCTTCAGCTCCTCACAAGATCAGGTCCTATGAGTCCAAGAGATAACCAGTTACTCAAATATCCTTTAGATGACTCCATAAATAAACCACAGGTGTCCTGGCCACACCAGCAGAACTCTGGCCTGGAAAGAGCAAAAGTTAGCATGATGACACATTGTCACACTTTCTTGGAAATGGAGGTATGTATGTATGATCCAAACTGTAAACCATGCTCCCTGGGGCCCATTTTCAATATCCTGCTTAAAAAGAAGGAAAGGTGATAGGCTAACGCCTGTCTGAAAACAGAATTAAGATGCTTTGGGTTCCTTGTTTGGGAAGTGCAACCTTAACTCTGCTTTCCTGGGTATCTCACACTGGTGGGGCGGCTTTTTTATAGTCTAATACTCTTGAAAGTTCATACGCGCTCAGACCACTGAGATGTGCCTGAATGTTGAGCTTCATGTTTACTAATTTCTGTGGGTGGGACAGTCGCTCCAGATGGCAAATCACATAACATACGAGTCTTTGTTATTTCCCTACAGAAATGGGGAACAGCGAGCCCGGGCAACAGTGATGTTTTTCAGGAACTTCCAGCCCACGAATTTCTCACTAAAGCCGAGCCTGTGCGCAGATGTTAGCACAGCCAGTCAGTCTAGACCTTCAATAGAGCAATGAGGCTGGAGATCTGGGAAAGCTAGCACAGAGCAAAAGAAACAGGTCAAAAGCCTAACACGGCAGGAAAATTTCTAGAGCAGGAGGGTGAGAAAATTCGGAGACAGACAGAAAATGGATCCAGAAACCAGAGAAGCTGGATCAACAACTAGTAAAGCCATGAAATGTGAGAAATGCCAGACCAGTAATCTGTAAAGAAAAGGGAGAAAACTGCATTTAACTCCTGCTGGAGTTACATACCTGCACTGCACTCATGGGCTGACTGTTATAAAGGGAGTCCTAATCTAATACAATTATTCAGTACACAGTATGTTTCTGAGAAGCACAAAGAGAGGAGAGTGGTAACTTCAGGAATAAAATTACAAGGGGAGGCAAATTAAGAAGGAGTTGAGAGTTATTTGAAGTCAAAAGGAGTAAAGAATCTTAAATTTTATAGAGCGTGTGAATGTAGGACTCTGTGCTGGGTACAATCTAGTGACTGCAAAAGGTTCAGTGATTGTTGCCTTAAGGATCAGTGAAAAGAGAATTTTGGAACAAAGGCTAATGGCTTTGATCCACATCCACAAAGGTCCTTAGGTGCCTAAATCCCAGATTTAGGCAGCTAAATCCCAGTTTTGGGCTCTACTGCAATCCACAAAGTCCCTGCTGAACCCTCTATGTCAGTCAGCGGCCAAGTTTTCAAAGTAGAAGTTCCCTTAGTGCCTAAGATTCAGGCTCTGGACACAAGCACAGCTGCCTCCCTCTGGGTGCCGGGCCATCTATCTCCTGCCTTAGCCCCAGAGTGATTCCCAAACCAAGAGAAGATAGGCATTTAGCTGCCTAAATTGCCTGTGGGGTCTGATCCAGTAGGTGTGCTCAGAGCCTGCCTACCAGGCTAGGTACCGTTCAAAATCAGCTGGAGGAGGCAGTGGTGCCACCTTATCACTGTTGACCCAGTGGCTAGACAGCTGACCTGGGATGTGGGCCCAATGGCTAAGTATTTATCCACAATGGAATGGTCAGTGGACCACAGAGAATGAGAATGACTCTGCAGTCCAGTGAGTAGGGCACCCACATGGGAGAAATTTGGGGCCAGTCCCCCTGCTCCAATTGCTCTTTCATTATTCATACACAGTGGAACAGCATCACAGGGAGAGACTCAGGGAGCCCCACATCAGAATATCCCATAGCTTACTGGGCAGAGCTCTCTGAGAGGTGATAGACCTCTGCACAAATCCTTTCTCCCCCTCTGCCAGCATGGGGGGAATTGAACCTGGTTCTCCCATCATGTCCCATGTGAGTGTTTTAACCATTGTGCTAAAAGTTACAATGTGGGCAGCTCCTCCTCTGGCTGTTTTGTGTGGAGAGAGGAAGGTGCCTAACTTATTCCCTCAAGTGGCTTAGTCATGTAAGCTGCCTGACTGCAGGCAGTGGGTTCCTGTTCATGGATCACTAAGCACAGGTGCATTCCCTATAGCCTGGACTTCAGCATCTAACTCAGAGAGGGACGGGGCTCAGCACCTCTCCCCCGCTCTGATTACCATATTCCATTGGCTAGCTTAGGTGCTCCTATGCCTAGCATGCTGGTTTTTGTGGCTCCCATCCTTAGGCGCTTGTCTCTCTCCATTCATTAGGTTAGGTTAGGTGCCTAACTCAGGCTTTGTGGATCGCAGCATTGTTCTTGTGTTTTTCTAGGTGCCTAAAAATTAGGTGCTGTGAGACTGAGCACTGCAATGCCTAAATCCTTTGTGGATCCCACCCTTTGTGGTCCGGCTACAGCATCCATGTCCTGTGGCACTCATGCTGTTCCAGAGAAACTGTACTTACAGATTGGGGTGGAGTCCACAAGGAATCTGTAAAGACAGAAGTGGAGTTAGTAACTGTTGGGTCACTTCACAGAGTTAACTGGACAGGGTCAGATTCAGCCCTAAGACACACTGGCTTGTGCTGCCACAAACTAGGACGCAGGAGTTCGGAGGAAAGGCCACCTACCTGTTAAGGTGTGATTTCGGCAGTGCAAGGCACCTGCAACCTCTGCTCTGTGCCAGGCCCCACCGCTGCTTATCCATCAACAAAAATGGGTCGTAATGGATGAGGGAATAACTGGCTGGGAAATCAGCTTCTGCTGTGTAGCCAGAATCACAAACTAAAGTTGCCTCCTGCAGTCAAATCCCTCAAGGAGGGCAGGCATGGTTTGGATCCTCTGTGGGGCACAGCTGCTCTCAGACACACACACACACACAGGGAGTTGTGGGTTGCACCTCACAGCTCCAGCTGGGGTGAATCAAGCCCATAGAGTCTCAGCTATTTCTGCAGAACAGAGTGTTTGCTTCGAGAGACCCCAAACCTGCAGCGTGTATGCTGCACACATCAGAGTGCAGGCCCCTGCCAGCAGATCAGACAATCAAAGGCTGGTGGTCACCTAGCCAGAGTCAGATACTCATTACACTGAGCTCACTGCCTGCTGTTTGGTGAGCCATGTGAATGAGTTGGGTGGGGGGGGGGGTTCCACTCTAATTCTGATACCCACCACTCCCATTTTTGCCAGTCACAGCAGAGGCCAGAGGAGCCCTGAGGTGGTCTCTTCCAGCTGGAGTAGAGGCACATGTTAGAGAACTTATTCCTTCACCCTCCCACTTCCCTGGTCCTTCTCACATGAACAGAGAGCAACAATACTCGAAGTCCAAAGGTGCAAACAATTCAATGTTTATTGGGGTGAACTTCCAGCAAGCTTAAATCCACATTCCTTTTTCCTTATTTTCAAATCCCAACTTACTTCCTGTTTGCCCCTAATTTATATAGTAATATTCTTAGCTATACCTTAACCAATCATTCTACTGAAATTTAACTAACCAATCCTAACATATTGTAACATGATTAGCTAACCAATTATATCCCACCAGCAAAATTAATTATACAGCAGACAGAAACAATCACAGAACCAGACAGAGACCATGCAAATAAACAATAGCAAAGTGGGAACTATAATGACAAAACAATACAGAAGTGAGGATTTCACAACTACATCTATAAAGACATAAGGCTTTCCCAGCTGTGTCTATTGATAAGTGAGTTCTTCCCAGACAGAAAACTATCAACCTAATTTTCCTTTTACATTTTCTAGACTCTTCCCTTTCTCTGGAGGTGATAGATCTGATCACCTTCATAACAGCCCCATATTGACTAGTTTGGAATGTGAGGATGTGACCAGTTGCTTCCCAGCTTATGGCTGCCTCTGCTGCTTAGCCAAAGGCTTTGGCCTAAGAACAGGGCCTCAGACTGTCACAGTGAGAGAAGGCCCTTACACAGATTCTTTCTTGTATACCTCTGTTACTAACTAATTGATAAACATATACCTACATTCTTAAAGTATAGGCCTTTACAGGCAGGCCAGAATATCTATATCCTAACAGCACATTGGTGGGTGCTGTTTGTGGGAAGTGTATCCTCCCCATGCTGCACCTGTTCTGGAGATGAGAGGCACTTTACCTCCAAGTATCTCCAAATAAAACTGTTCAACAGCACGAAACTCATGATGAGAAAAATGTTTCCAAAAATTCTAAAGTGGCACCTCATCAGCCAGGCAGCCATCAGCACCCTCCAGAGTATGGGGGATATAAGGGGCTAAGGGGCTAAGCAAAGCACATGGCCTTGGGCTGTTTTGAGAAGTGGAGGCATCAGAATTGGCTGAGGAGGGAGCTAATCTTAAGGAAATTCCACTCCATAAAGTCTGTCTGTGAAAGGGTGGCCTGCCCTTTAGGGCCTGGACTAGGCAGACCTGTTCTATCAGCCTGCCTCTGCTGTAATTAGTTGTTTCCCAGACCTTTAGCAAAGCTTTTGATACAGTCTCCCACAGTATTCTTGCCAGCAAGTTAAAGAAGTATGGGCTGGATGAATGGACTATAAGGTGGATACAAAGCTGGCTGGATTGTCGGGCTCAAGGGGTAGTGATCAATGGCTCCACTGGCAGCCGGTATCAAGCAAAGTGCCCCAAGGGTTGGTCCTCGGGCTGGTTTTGTTCAATATCTTCATTAATGATCTGGAGGATGGCGTGGATTGCACCCTCAGCAAATTTTCAGATGACACTAAACTGGCAGGAGTGGTAGATACTCTGGAGGGTAGGGATAGGATACAGAGGGACCGAGACAAATTAGAGGATTGGGCCAAAAGAAATCTGATGAGGTTCAATAAGGATAAGTGCAGGGTCCTGCACTTAGGACGGAAGAACCCAATGCACAGCTACAGACTAGGGACCGAATGGCTAGGCAGCAGTTCCTGCGGAAAAGGACCTAGGGGTGTCAGTGGACGAGAAGCTGGATATGAGTCAGCAGTGTGCCCTTGTTGCCAAGAAGGCTAATGGCATTTTGGGCTGTATAAGTAGGGGCATAGCGAGCAGATCGAGGGACATGATCATTCCCCTCTATTCGGCATTGGTGAGGCCTCATCTGGAGTACTGTGTCCAGTTTTGGGCCCCACACTTCAAGAAGGATGTGGATAAATTGGAGAGAGTCCAGCAGAGGGCAACAAAATGATTAGGGGTCTGGAACACATGACTTATGAGGAGAGGCTGAGGGAGCTGGGATTGTTTAGATGTTCCCTCCATCCTAAGAGGTTTTTAAGGTCAGGCTTGACAAAGCCCTGGCTGGGATGATTTAACTTGGAATTGGTCCTGCTTTGAGCAGGGGGTTGGACTAGATGACCTTCTGGGGTCCCTTCCAACCCTGATATTCTATGATTCTATGACAGTCTGCAGTTAGAGCAGGGGTGGGCAAACCTTTTGGCCCAAGGGCGACATCTGGGAATAGAAATTGTATGGCAGGCCATGAATGTTCACAAAATTGGGCTTGGGGTGCAGAAGGGGGTGAGGGCTCTGGTTGGGGGTGCGGGCTCTGGGGTGGGGCTGGGAATGAGGGATTTGGGGTGCAGGAGGGTGCTCTGGGCTGGGATTGAGGAGTTCGGAGGGCGGGAGGGGGATCAGGGCTGGGGCAGGGGCTTGGGGTGCAGGGAGGGGATCAGGGGTGCAGGCTCTGGGCGGCACTTACCTCAAGCAGCTCCCAGAAGCAGCGGCCATGTCCCCTCTTTGGCTCCTATGCTGAGCCGCGGCCAGGTGGCTCTGCGCGCTGCCCCATCTGGAGGTGCTGCCCCTACAGCTCCCATTGGCCGCAGTTCCCAGCCAATGGGAGCTGTGGGGGTGGTGCTTGGGGCAGGGGGCAGTGTGCAGAGCGGAGTTCCCTGGCTGCCCCTACGCATAGGAGCTGGAGTAGGGCCATGCTGCAGCTTCCGGGAGCCAGCAGGAGCTTGAGGGCCAGCTTAAAACAGCTGGCATGGGCCGCAGTTTGTCCACCCCTGAGTTAGAGGGAAGAACCACAGGGAGCACACTGGGTTACTAGGGAGATCCTAAAGAAGGGTCTGGAAGGACTGCAGGGAGGTTCCTGGGAGTCAGGGCACTCTCCTAGAGAGATTCAAAGGTAGCCCATTAGGGATTGGGAACTGAGCCCAAAGGGTGGGCAGAAGAGAAACCCAAGCAGAGGTGGATAATCTTTTGTTTGTTTGGGACTCAAGTTACCCTGGAAGGGGTGTGGACTAAAATGTGACTTGGGTAGAAGGCTGAGCCACATAAATCCCTGGGAGAGACAGAAAACCCTGGTGAGGGGAACTTGCACTTGCAGCACCACAGTTGGCAAGGAGGGAGTGCTGCAGGGCAGGCATGCCCTAAGACAATGGCTCACACAGAAAAATGGAGATCTGAAAAAAACACAAACCCAGGGATCAACTGATTCTACCATAAACTCCTTCTACCAACAAACATACTGAATGCTTCATAATAATCACAGTGAGCATTTCTCTAGTGCCTTCCATCCAAGAGCCTCAAGGCCTGATCTAATGCCCTCTGAAATTGATGGAAGACTTTCCATTAACTTTGCTGGCCATTGGGCCAGGTCCATAGTGAACTAAATCTCACAATGTTGCTGTGAGATAGCTATTATTCTCCTATTGTCTCCATTTTACAGAAGGGAATACTAAGGCAGAGAAGGTAAGTGACATTACTTTTTCATAGACATTTGTACAAAACCATATGGCCTTGATCCTAATGACAGGTTTCAGAGTAGCAGCCGTGTTAGTCTGTATCCGCAAAAAGAACAGGAGTACTTGTGGCACCTTAGAGACTAACAAATTTATTTGAGCATAAACTTTTGTGGGCTACAGCCCACTTCATTGGATGCATAGAATGGAATATATAGTAAGAAGATATATATATACATACAGAGAACATGAAAAGGTGGAAGTAGCCATACCAACTGTAAGAGGCTAATTAATTAAGATGAACTATTATCAGCAGGAGGAAAAAACTTTCGTAGTGATAATCAAGATGGCCCATTTAGACAGTTGATAAGAAGGTGTGAGGATCCTAATGTGGACACTGCTGTAACACAAATAATAACAATAGAAAAACCAGGGTAGAGAATCCAGGAGTCCTGACTCCCAGTCCTGAGCCTTACCTGGGTGATCATTCTGCATGTTTGCAATGGTCTACAGTGCTAACAGTTCTGAGTTGGGCTTCGGGTTGGATAAACATCCAAGAGCCCAAGTGCTTCTCTGAATTATGCAAACTTGCTGAGTCTGCAAATTTGGGCTGCTCACTTCAATCTTCCTGTATTTCCAAATTTGGTTTTAGTCTGGGGTCAAGTTTTAGGAGAATAGGGCTTGTTTCATCCTCATCTTCATCATTTCATTCTCCATTGTATTATGGGTGCTCAGTTTCAAGTTTCTTTCTCAGAAAGTCACACTTGCACCACAAGACAAAGAGGATCATGCTGTGGTCTGTGAGTGGCCAGTAGCATCTATTATGGTGATTGAACAGAATAATATCTATTGGGAACCAAACAGTGGTAGGGTTGGGAAGAGAGATGGGTCCTTGAGAGGATCTTTTGCTTACAAAGTGGTCCACAAAACAAAACCACTGGAAAGCCACAGCAAGAGGTAGTCATTCTCTCTTCTCCTAACAGCAGACTCATTCACAGTCTACATAGCAGTTGGTGTGCGCTACACAGGTGCAGGACTAGACTGTGTTCATCCTAGGGCATGGAATTACTGAAGATGGAAGCACCTGGAACACGTGAATTTGAGAGAGCCTCAAATGCTTTACAGCTGATGATAGTAGATGACTATCCCAAGAGGCATTTAATGAAGGAATGATTATTTTTTAACTTCTATACCCATCTTTCTCAGTTCATTTTCCATATTGAGTTGCCCCTTGGCCAATCTTGGAACTTGACACCTCCTTGCAAGAACCACCTTACTATTGCTATGCTAAGGGATGGGGAGCAGGTGTTCCTGTAAGACAGATTTATTACCTGAGTAGTATCCTGTTGCTCTGTGCAATTATTTTCATTTCAGCATCTGTCAAAAAAGATTACATTAAGCCTCACATTTCTAGTCAGTCAGGACCATGTGTGGTGTCAGATCCATCCCTGTAGGCCTCAGATGCCAGCCAGCCACATGACTGTTAGAAAAGCGATGATGGCACTAAACAAAGACTAAGACACTACTATTAGGGTGTGGAAAGGAGAGGTGAAAGCTGCTTAATTCGTGGTGTTGGATACCATATGCCTGACTCCAGCACCATTTCTCCTCCACATCAAGGGGCCAGGTTGCAACCAAAGAGAATGGAACAGAATTGCTTTGGGATATCAGTCCTACCCCTCAACTAGCCAGACAGGGTCACTGTAAGCGGCAGAGTGTATTGTCCAGTCTAGAAGGAAGCTAGGTGCCCATGAAGACTAGCCAAACTTGGGTTGCCTATGTTACAGGTCAGAGCTGTAACCACCCAGCTGTAATTCTCACAAGACAGTATGGCCTTGCTCTCTCTCTCTCTCTTTCTTTCTTTCTCTCCAGGCTAACGTGGGATGGGATGGAGGAAAATTCCCTAAAACCTCAGAGATCTGGTAATGTGAGACTCATCAGCGACTGCTGACAGCTCAGATGCTGACCTCAGGACTTGGGCCAGAGACACTAGTCAGCGGCCCAGGAAGGTTTTGTTTAGGATTCCTTGACTGGAGTGAAGTGGGTGAGTTACAGGCTTCACACCAGTTGCCTTTATTAGCAGTTTCCCAGCAGTTCGGTCATAGGTGATCTTTCTGGGACAGCTTCTGTACAGTGTGGCCATCTTCCACAATGAGAGGGCCCTGTTGTCCACAACTGTGTACTCCAGGTCCTTATGACAAGGTGGCAGGGAGAGAGGTTGGGCTCCCAAATGGAGGTAACTCTCCACAGTGTTTCTCTCACTTCTGGGAGCTGCTGCTAAGGGCTGTTCCATTTTATATTTTACCACCTCTGTGAGCCTCACAAATCATGTGGAGTGCAAACCACAAAGGTACTTAGATGCCAAAGTCTTAGTTTTAGGCAGCACTGCGATCCACAAAACTCCCCCTTGGCTGCTGTGGAATTCTGTAGGTGCCTGAACTCTCTCAGCACCTATATTTTGGCAGCAGAAGTTCCCTGCACACTGATGTTTCTGCCTCTCTCTCGCCTAAGTCCCTGAGCAATCCATGACCCAGGGAAGAGAGGCGTTTGGCTGCCTACGTGGTATGTGAGGGCCCAATCCGGTAGGCGTGCTTTGAGGCTGCCTACCAGACCAGGCCCATTAGGCAAGTTCACACAAAACAGTGGGGTTTTGGGGGGGGGGGGTTCTTTAACCTTGTGGCTGAGGCACTGACCCAGCAGGCAATAGACCCTGGTTCAAGTCCTCTCTTTGTTGGGGGAGGGGAGGAAAGGAATTTGAACAAGGCTCAGCCACTTCTCAGGTGAGTGCCCTAACCACTAGGATACGGAATATTCTCATGGGGAGGGTCTCGCTCAAACCCTCCTAGTGACCTCGTTCCACTTTAAATAAGTGTTTAATTAAATAGTAATTGGGCCAGGACAAGTTAGAATGACGCTATAGTCTAATGGTTAGAGCACTCGCCTGAGAGGTGGCCAAGCCCTAGTCAAATCCCATCTCTTCCTTAGGAGCAGTGGGAACTTGCACTGGGGTCTCCCACATCCTGTCTGAGTACCCTCTCCACTGGGTTGAAGATCATAAGGGAGGTGCACCTCCTCACTAGTATTGTTTCAAGTGCCTGAGCTCCTATCTTCCCCTAGTTCGTGGATCACGAGCAGAGAGGCACCTCCCTGCAGCCCAGATTTAGGTCCCTATCTCCATGTGAGGAGGCAGGGCTTAGGACACAACTCTCTGGTCAGTGTCTCCCACTGGCTAGCTTAGGAGGGTCCCCTCTTAGTGTGCTGGCTTTTGTGGATCACGTTCTTAGGCATCTCACTCTCCTTAGTATAGGGAGCCTAGACACCTAACTCAGGCTTTGTGGATTATAGGGTTGGTCCATTGATTTTCTGGGTGTCTAAAAGTTAGGCACCACAATGCTCAGTGTCACAGTACCTAAGTCCCTTTGTGGATCCACCCCGGTCCACAAATCTGAGCTGCAAAGAGGGTAAAGGAGCAAGAGTGAGTTTAATTTTAATTCACATTAACAGAAAGGTAGCACCATCCAGTGTTAGAGCAGGAGGGGCCCGGGGCAAAAGCATAGAATCAGGACTCAGTTGTTAGGTGTGTCAGTGACTCAGTGTGTGACCTTGGGCAAGTCATGTCATCTCACGGTGCCTGTGTTTTCATCTGTAAAAAGGTGATCATAGCACTCACTTATTTCTCAGGATTGTTGAGAGACTTGATTAAGTCCCATGCTCCTCTGCCATGATATAGCTGATTTCTGCACTGAAGTGATGTTATCTGCCCTTATTTTCCCCTCAATCGCTTCTCCTGTTTTCTGACCACTCTAAAATGCTTCTGTTCATTGAGCTCCTTTCCTTCTGCCTTCACACCCCCCACCTCACCCTTTTCATCCTTTCCAAAATGCAGCTGCAAAAATCCTCTAACTCACCTGCTTCTCTGCTCCCATCCAGCTCTTCTCATTCACCTCCTTTCACGCGCTGCATCTAAATGAAACTCCTTGTCCTGGTCTTCACAATTCTGCACATCTTGGCTCCCCGCTTCCTCCTCGCACTGGTCTCTTTCCACTCCCAATAACAGCAGTGTGGATGTGTTTGTACATTGCACAATTAGATGGTAAGCTCTGTGAAGCAGGGGCCTTGTAGTCATATCTGTCTGTAGAGCTCCCAGTGAACTATTGCTATACAAGCAATAAAAATAATAATCTATTAAAGATGATAAAGTGTACAGCAATCCTCATCTGGAAGGCTGGTTATAGATGTGCAGAGTATTAGTCCTGTTACAATTACTCTATCATTTAGCTGATTGCAGCAGTACACTGAGGATTCTGGGACATAAAGCCTCACCACCGATGACCTTCAGAAAGCCAGGCAAGCAACACAGTGTGTTAGAAAGGACCTGGACCAAATTGATAATGCTGCTAGCTTCAGAGACTGGGTATTCTCTTTATACTGTAAAAGTGACTGAACAAAGGGACGGGATCATTACCTGACTAAGTGGAATGCTGTAGATTGTGATGGATTATTTTAAGCATCAATTTGATTAGAATGACTGTTCTTGCTTCTTCCCTCAGAAGTGTATGATATTAATTTAGCCTTATAGTGAGAAAATACTTGTAATGATGATCTCATTTGCTAGTGCCATTTGCGCTCTCTCCGGTGACGTGTTAGCTTTGCCTAGAGTGCTTGGAGCTTAGTTTTCAGGGGGGAGGATCAATTCTAGATGTGAATTTCAGCAACAGACAGAACAAGTGTTTCCATTAATATGTGGCAAGCCATTCCCCTGTAAGGGAGCAGCCTGAGTACCACGGTGGCACTGATCGGTTCTACCACGCTTATGCCCAGTTTGAGTGAGCAAATCCCTCACCGAGGAGCACTAAACTCACAATATTTGTGAGTGACACAAAGGGAAAACTAGTGGGTCAGAGGATTGACACTGAGCAGTAGAGCCTTTCCCCAGTAGCTTCACCGATTTGAATCCAGTACAGTATAGCTGTTACCATCAGTGGACAGTTTAGTGGGCTGAAATCTGCAGGTTGTCGTAGTCTGGTTCCTGGTGGACAGTTATCATGATGTTAATTAACACAATCTGGAATCAAGTCCATTAGAAATAGCTCACTAGGGGATGCTGTGCCATTTCAGTATTTGACCATTTCCCCAGAATAATGCTGGGGGTGCAGTGCTGCTGGAGTTACCACCTTTCTGGTGCGATATAAAACCGAGGCCCTGACCACTGATAGTCACTAAGGATCTCTTGACACACTGATGTCCTGGCCTCATTGCAGCTCAGAGAATTACATTCTGCCGCTTTCTGGCTCCTGCTCTCTCCTTAGCTCGGCCCAACTCTGTCTGACCCTGGCAATTCCAACTCACACAGAAGATGGGACCCCCCTGGCCTCCTGACTCCCTCATTAGCCTGCCCATCGTGTCAATCAGGCTGACCTGGAGCACTGGCCTCTCCCCATTGCTCCTGGGGACTGTCAGTTTCAGGGTCCTGATTTCCCATCAACCTTTCCCTTCTCATTTAGTACTGGGAGCTAGCCAAAAACCTCCTACTGAGTTTTAGTAAGGAGCCAACAGTCCCCCTTACATTCCCCCTTACTAAAATTCTGCCACAGCCACAATATTGACACCAGTACATCCGAGCCCCATATTAACAACATATACCCACATCATGTCAAATAAAAAAACATTATCAACAAAAGAACATTTAACGTATTTAACATTCCATGTCTACTTCTTTATACTATACATGACAATATTCATTAAAAAACTACATAGAACTAATAAGCCAGTCCTTGCTTACAGACAGCCCCCCAACCTGAAGCAAATACTCACCAGCAACCACACACCACACAACAGAACCACTAACCCAGGAACGTATCCTTGCAACAAAGCCCGTTGCCAACTGTGTCCACATATCTATTCTGGGGACACATCATAGGGCCTAATCACATCAGCCACACTAATCAGAGGCTCGTTCACCTGCACATCTACCAATGTGATATATGCCATCACGTGCCAGCAATGCCCCTCTGCCATGTACATTGGTCAAACTGGACAGTCTCTACGTAAAAGAATAAATGGACACAAATCAGACGTCAAGAATTATAACATTCAAAAACCAGTCGGAGAACACTTCAGTCTCTTTGGTCACTCGATTACAGACCCAAAAGTTGCAATTCTTCAACAAAAAAACTTCAGAAACAGATTCCAACAAGAGACTGCTGAATTGGAATTAATTTGCAATTAACTTAGGCTTGAATAGAGACTGGGAGTGGATGGGTCATTACACAAAGTAAAACTATTTCCCCATGTTTATTTCCCCCCCCCACACTGTTCCTCAGACGTTCTTGTCAACTGTTGGAAATGGCCCACCTTGATTATCACTACAAAAGGTCGCCCCTCCCCCCCCCCCCCGCTCTCCTGCTGGTAATAGTTCACCTTAAGTGATCACTCTTGTTACGCTCTTGTAACACCCATTATTTCATGTTCTCTATGTATATAAATCTCCCTACTGTATTTTCTACTGAGTGCATCCGATGAAGTGAGCTGTAGCTCACGAAAGCTTATGCTCAAATAAATTGGTTAGTTTCTAAGGTGCCACAAGTACTCCTGTTCTTGTCTCGCCACTCCACTTTGCTCATTCTCTCCTGGAGGTCATACACCTATGCCTGGACAGTTTCACCAGGCTCCTGCTTTCTCTCAGAGAACTCCTCTAGTTGGGTTCCCATAGGTACCTTGTCTCCATACACTTCTAGAAGGAGTTCAAATACCTTTTCCACATCCTTCTTTTCTGCCATTGCCAGGAACTTTAATGTGGCCTTGGCCTGGCCCTTGAGGTGTTCCTCTATGAAGTCCACACAATCTTCTTCAGATACTCTTAGCACACGCAGAGCTGCCTTCACAGACTTGACCCACTCCTCTACCGCAATGTCTCCGGGTCTAGTCGGGAAGCCACCAAACTCTTTGACCTTCTGCTCCCATGGACATAAATATTAGGGGGTTTCTTAGCTTCTGCTGCCTGTTGGTCTATTACTGACTTAGCCAACGATAAGGCTTCTCTCTGTTCAGTTCTAGCTTGTTTAAATGCCTCAGCTTGGTCTGATAATCTGCACTGAAGTTCAGCAAACTGGGCCTGTAGTTCTTCAATTCCAGCCATGGTAGGGTTCTCAACCAGGCCTGGACAGTGCTACCAGAACTCAACCAGTAAACCAATGGGGTGGACCCTGTGAATAGGATCCTGTTCGTGATGCCAATTATGTAAGCGGAGGAATGGTCCCGCTGTTGTGGGAATTTTCTTGGCTTATACACCACCCCGGTGAAATGGGTTAGTGAAAAGATCTGAGTCCTCACTCCCACTTTCTTTATCCAGAGGCCTGCCTGATCTCAAGGGCTCCCCTTCCACTCTTCCGTGCGGCAGAGTCCTCGTAACCCCAGCAAGGTTGGGCCCAGGATTCCTGGGGGGCTCGACCCCCAACCTTGTTGTGGTCACTTAGGGCAGGGGCTAGGGTGTCCCCACTCCGGGGTGCTCTCTCTGCACTGGACACTTCCCTGACCCACTAATCATTACATACAGTTCAAAGCAAATACAATTTATTAAACAGCAATCAATTAAAAAAAATAAGGAAAAAATGGGAAAGGTTAAAGGAAAACACGTCACCCCACTCTGTGGCACGGGGACATCACAACCAGCGTCTCTGGAACATAAGGGAAGTTCACAGTCTGTTCCTCACACATCCCAGGAGGCCTCCTTCTCAGGTCCTGGCTGTGCTGCAGGGATGCCGCAGGTTGGACACTTGCTCTGGTGGTGGCCACACACCCTCAGGCTCTTGGTGGCAGGACCCTTCTTCCCAGCATCAACCCCCCGTGTTGGGGTTACGATCCCCCTCCAAGTCTGGCCTGCAAGGCCTCTTGGCAGGGGATGTTTCCCTGCGCTGGGTCCCCTGCCCAGGGTCCCCCTCGCTTCCCCAAGCTGCTCACCACACGCAGCTCTGGACTGCTCAAGCCTCAGCTCCAGCTCCACTCTGCCTCAGCACGGCTGCTGCTCTGCCTCCAGCCCCCTGGGCTGCAGCTGGAGCTGAGAGAACCGGAGCCCCGTGCAACCTGGCTGGGGCTGCTGACCCCCACCCAAAACTCCACGCAGCCAGGGGCTGACCCCTTTCCCCAAGCTCCCCATGACGTGGCCAGGGGCTGACCCCCCCCCCAAGCACCACATGCTGTGGCCAGGGGCTGACCCCCACCAAGCTCCACATGCCGTGGCCAGAAACGGGGGCTGACCCCTCTCCCTCCCTGAGCTCTCTGTATGCCATTGCCAGGACTGGGCCTGACCCCTCCCCCGCCCCAGCTCCCCACACCGCTGCCAGGAGCTGGGGCTGACACACACCCTGAGCTCCTCCCACACCACTGCCAGGGGCTGGGCTGGCCCCCAAGCCCCGCAAGCTCCACTCTACCAGGGGCTGATCCCCCAGGCCTCACTGCCTGACACCTCACGTCGCCACACCCGCACATACACACGTTCTTCCACGCCCCGCTAAGGAGGTGCACCGGACATTTTTGGTAAACTGGGTATTTTTTCGTTTGCTCTTGCCAACTGATCAGTTGGCAAGAGCAAACAGGACAAATGCCCATTTTTGTCAAAAAAAGTCGGGACAGCTGGGACAGAGCTTAAAAAGGGAACTGTCCCGGCCAAACGGAGACGTATGATCACCCTACCTCCAGGCAAGGGGGTCCTGAGGGAGCCCAGCCGAAGTGGGGGCAGACCCGGGCCTGGCTGATCGCGCCACTCCCGAGAGGCCAGAGCGATTCCCCGCCGTGGCACTGGACCGGCCCTGGCCGCGCTGCCCGCTCAGCTTGGCAGATGCAGTCACCTCCCAGCAGGGCCGGTGAGTGTGGCCGGGAGGGCGGGGGCAGGGTGTGAGGTCTCTGGGAATATGTGGGGGGTACTGGGCTGTGAGGCAGTGGGGCTGCGAGGGAGGTGTGTGTGTTTTGGGTGCTAGGCAGTGGGGGAGGTCTGTGTTGGGATGCTGGGTAGTGGGGGGGTCTGATTGGGCTGCTGTGTAGTTGTGGTGGTGGGGCTGTGGGGAAGTGCATTGGGCAGTAGTGGTGGGGCTGTGGAGGGGTGCTTGGCAGGAGTGGTGGTGTGCAGGGTGCTGTTCATTTGTGGTGGAGGGTCTGTGGGGGGGCTGCTGGGCATAGGAAGTTGGGGGCTGTGTGGCACGGCATGGGCCCACCCCTGAGGGGAAGGGGCACGCTGGCAGTGCAGGGCTGGGTGGCCCAGTA